GAGATGGCTTCCTGGAAGTCCACAGGCACCTACGTCGACGAGGTTCCCCCACCTGGGGCGAACATCGTCGGTGGCATGCGGATTTTAGGGTGAAGCGGCCGCCGGGTTCTCCTCCTGTCTTCAAGGCGCGCTACGTTGCTCGAGGCTTCAGTCAGCGAGAGGGAGTTGACTTCTTCCAGACCTTCTCCCCCACCCCGAAGATGACCACTCTTCGGGTACTGCTGCACATAGCCGCTCAGCGCGACTACGAGCTTCACTCACTTGACTTCAGCACTGCTTTCTTGCAGGGCAGCTTGCACGAGGAGATCTAGCTGCGCCGCCCTCCTGGCTTCACTGGGTTGGTTCCTCCTGGTACCCAGTGGAGGCTCCAGCGGCCGGTCTACGGTCTCCGCCAGGCACCGCGTGAGTGGCACGACACACTGAGGACGACACTTGCGGCTCTTGGGTTTGCTCCCTCTACTGCTGACCCGTCACTGTTTCTACGCACAGACACCTCACTGCCGCCGTTCTACATCCTCGTGTACGTCGACGACTTGGTCTTTGCCACTGCTGACACCGCGGCACTCGCCCACGTGAAGTTGGAGCTGCAGAGGAGACACACGTGCACAGACCTGGGTGAACTGACAAGCTATCTTGGCTTGCGGATCACCCGGGACAGAGCACGGCGCACCATCACCTTGACTCAGTCACACATGGTGCAGCAGATCCTTCAGCGCTTCCGCTTCACGTACTCCTCACCTCAGTCCACTCCTCTGCCTACCGGTCACTCGCTCTCAGCTCTGCCTTCGGATAAGTCCGTATCCAGAGCTTGTGGGCTGCCTCATGTACCTGATGACCTGCACTCGACCTGACCTGGCATACCCTCTTAGCATCCTTGCACGCTATGTCGCTCCTGGCCGTCACAGGAAGGAGCACATGGATGCCGCTAAGAGGGTGTTGCGCTACTTGTGCAGTACGTCGGGCATGGGGCTAGTGCTTGGAGGGCAAGACCGAGTTGTGCTCACAGGACACTCAGACGCTTCTTGGGCGGACGACCAGGCTACTCAGCGGTCGTCTCAGGGTTACACCTTCAGCCTTGGCTCTGGTTCAGTTTCTTGGCGTTCCACACGCTCTTCTTCTGTTCTCAGCTCCAGTTGTGAGGCTGAGATCTACGCCACAGCCATGGCTGCCCAGGAGCTACGCTGGCTGACCTACCTGCTGACCGACCTGGGAGAGCGGCCTCGTTCTCCTCCAGTGCTGTACGTCGACAACAAGGCTGCCATTGCCTTGTGTGAGGAGCACAGACTGGAGCACAGAACGAAGCACATCGCCCTGCGGTACTTCCTTGCTCGAGAGCTGCAGCAGTGCGGTCAGCTTTGTCTGCGTTACGTGGCCACTGAGGCCAACACTGCTGATGTGTTCACCAAGGCGCTTCAGCCTTGTGACCATCAGCGCTTTTGCACTCTCCTAGGCCTTGTGCCTACTGGACCTCACTTGCTTACTTCTTGACCTTGTTTGTACTGTGATCACTATATATATATATATATACCTGCATGTTTACTCTTGCTAGGTTGTGATCACTGTATCTCTTGCTTTGTTATAAACCTGCATGTGAACTGGTCTTGTGACCACTTGCTTGTGCTCGGAATTTGTGTGGAATCCTTGAGATCCACCCTGAGCTTGCTTTGTCTTGCTTTGCCTTGACTGGTCTTGTGACCCCTAGTTCTCCCCCACTTTGCCTATGGGGGTGTGTCGAACATTATATATGTTGTGCTTGTTAGGCTACAGTGGGTTAGCCTATATGGGGTACACAATTCTAGGGTTTGCTATTTGTACTGATTTCCCTGTTAGTTCAATCATTCCAGTCCGTTCATTCTGACAGCTGAATGCGCTGGACAAGTCTACGAACGACATACCATTGGCGAGGTACTTGATAGCGACCAGACATGCTACCCCGTGCGTGATGTGGTACTTGTCCACGTACGGCTGCATGTAGTGCGCCATCCCGGCGACAATGTATTCAAGGATGGCTCGGTTTATACGAAACAAGTCCCTAAGCTCCTCCTCTCCCATGCCTTCTAGGTCCTCCAGCAGCAGGTGGTATCTCCTTGTCAGAAATTATATTTCTTTGTACAACTGCATATTAGCTTAGTTAGTGTAGTATCTATTTCATTGTTGGTGGTATACCCCCCTTGGCCACCTTCCCTGCCTATATCTTGTATCTCTCTCCATAGTCAAACCCCCTTCTTTGGCCAACTATCTCTCTTCCCAAACCCTACCTCCTAGCTACTTATTCTAACATGGTTTCAAAACTCCTACGGTCTTATGACCTACTATTTCTCTTAAGGATCATGGGCCCGCCTATGCTACAGCGCAAAATGCGCTATTTTTTTTCTCGTCTGTCCCGTTCGCGCGTGCTCTGCCCTGACGCCGCGGCGCCCCTTCTTCCCGTCGCCGCCGCGCCCCGCGTTCCCCCCCCCCCCGCTGCGCCCCGCTTCCGTCGCCGCGGGCGCCGTTCCTCCCGTCGCCGCGGGCGCCCCGCTTTCGTCGCCGCGGGCGCCCCGCTTCCGTCGCCGCGGGCGCCCTGCCTCCCGTCGCCGCGGGCGCCCTGCCTCCCGTCGCTGCGGGCGCCCCAGCTTCCCGTCGTTCGCGGCCCCCGCGCCCCGCGCCCCCCCTTTCGTCGCCCCGCGCGGACGCCAGCGCCACGGCCAGCCGCGAGCGCCAGCGTCTGCGCCCGCGTGGACCGCCAGCGCCGGCAGCTGCTCACGCCGCCCCCCCTCCCGCCCTCCCTTCCGCGGCTTCCGTCGTGGGGGGGGGGAGGGGGAGATGTGGGGGTGGCGGGTGTGAGCTGCCTGCAGCCCGTCCCTCCCTTCCCTCTTCCTCTCTCCCTGCAGCACTTGTTGCTGTGGGGGGGGGGGAGGGGAGGGAGGAGAAATGTTAAGGGGGGAAGGAGAGAGGTTAAGGGGGGATGAGAGATGTTGTTAAGGGGATGGACGAGAGAGAGAGAGAGAGAGAGAGAGAGAGAGAGAGAGAGAGAGAGAGAGAGAGAGAGAGAGAGAGAGAGAGAAGGGGTTTCTTCTATTATGTTTTCTTCTTTCGTAATGTTTTCTCTTCGTTTCGTGGTTCGTTCCTTTTCTCCGTCGTTTCTGGGCGTGGTCACCCAGAGTCGCGCACACCAGACATCCACTGCGGGGGTTAAACCACAGGCGGGTTTTCCATCGTGTGTTGTATCGGTGGGCCCAGCTGCGGCCCGGTGAAATCTGCACTTAGGGTAGAGAGCCCCTCACTAGCTATTCTTGTGTGAAGTTAAGGGGGGATGTCAGAAATTGTATTTCTATGTATAACTGCATATTAGCTTAGTTAGTGTAGTATCTATTTCATTGTTGGTGGTATACCCCCCTTGGCCACCTTCCCTGCCTATATCTTGTATCTCTCTCCATAGTCAAACCCCCTTCTTTGGCCAACTATCTCTCTTCCCAAACCCTACCTCCTATCTACTTATTCTAACACTCCTCCTGCAAAGACTAGCCCTTCTCTTACTCTCGGCAGTTCGGTTGGAGCCGTGAGAGCTAGAGCCGAGGCAACCTCGTCGGCGAATACGTTGGCCTCCATCAGTCCACCAACCGACCGGGCGACCACGTCCATGAAGATGCTGTAGTAGAACAACACTCATGCGACAAGCAGTCGCATGAGGAAAGGCATCGCGGGACTGTGCCATGATTGCTAGACAATGGTGCAATGCTGACCTGTGCTGTTTGATGTTTTGTACTTGGAAGAGTTGTTGTATATGTGCGTTTGTGAGTGAGGTGGTCCAAACGAAGTCGACTCTCACAAATTGCAACTTCTGTTACTGTGGCAAGCCCCCCACGACACTCGCTTCGTGCTCACTGTTTAGGCACTCTGTCCGATGAGAAAACGGATGGGCTCAATCCTATTGGTCGCCACCAGTAGGACACGTCCACCTGTACGTGCCAATCTGTCGCCATTAGTCGCGGTACATTTGCCGTTTGTGACACAACATTTGGCAAACTTACATGCGCGACTCGGGAAAAGGGGGATTGAGACACAAGTGTCCCCGCAGGAATGTACCCTCAGTACACGAGGAAATATATAGAGGACCCGGATGGATTGGGAGACAATGTTGTTACGCCGCATGTGTCTACTATGCACAGAATGCTCACCAGAAAAAGGGGACAATCACTGTATAGATGTAATTATTCCACACCCATTTTTGTACCCTAAAATAGGGAACATTAAAGGACGCGGTCCAAATTGCGGACCGCGCGAATCAAGTTGTTAAACTTGACGAAGTGGCGTGTGCAAGCTTTGAAAGGTTATGCAGGTGCAATTTGGGACTTCATAAGTCTGACCCTTCACTAGGGAGAAATCGATGGGCTCCCTGGGTTGGGCGAAAAAAAAAAAAAAAAAAAAACCGAATTTGATGAAATCAGACCCAAACATGTAAAATTCCCTTCTTGTCATAATTTTAAAACTTGTGCAATTTGGGCTTCCAACTTTAAGCCGTTGTTTGACATTGAGGCTCTTAGAGGACTTTGACAAGATCGATGAGGGTGAGCTAGAGATTGTTGATAATTTTAGGGTACATTCCTACCGTGTATCTGACATCAGGTCATCCGCCCTTAGTCTCTGATTTGTCTCCCCCAATGTTGATTTGCCCCCAATTTCGAGCCACTTTTGGGACGGATAACCTGATGTCAGACACGAGCTAGGAATGCGCCCTTAGCTGGCCTCTGGATAGGTTTGGAAGCACTCTTGGTCGAAAGGGCAGTTTGCCAAAGCTGGTCTTTCAGTAAGGGTGGGGCATCCACCTCAGTCTTGTTTATCAGTGTTGGCTGCAGTGTTACTCTTGCTCGTCAGTGTGCTGTGCACCTCGATTACTTGTACCATTATATGTTTACTTACCATCATGTATTGTTGTAACAAAGAACTACATCTACAAGCCTACAACTATAACAATAACAGCAGCACGACTACATGGTGGAGCAGAATACCACACCAACTCAATACAGAAACTCCTGGCCCGGACGGCGCTTCTTGCTAGCATTGAACACGTCTACCACATTCACCCAGTTCAGACCATCGCTGGGCAGGAGAGCTGCAGTCATCAGATCGCCCAGTCTGGCGTCTCCCAGGCAGGTCTGCTTCCACGTCTTGATACGGTTCTGGCGTCTGAAGCCGCGCTCGCACTCCACCGTGCTGAGGGGAAGCACAGCTACGGCCTGCCACAGCTGCACAAGGTTCGGGTAGGCTCCCCGCCAGTCAGTTGACTGGAGCATGAGCGCGAGCGACTTATGGAAGCTCATGTTGCCGTGGTTGGTGTCCATGGTGTGGAGAAACAACGGTAGCTCCCTCTCGCACGCCTTGAAGCACACACCTGCCAGGATGGGAGAGCAGAGCAGTGAGAGGGGCGATCGGGGCGTATAAGAGGTGTGGTGTTTAACATCACACCAAGGTAACCACACACACAGAGCAGACAGCAAATTGCAGGCACAACCAGGCGGCGTACCAAAGAGGCGGTGGCGAAACATGCGGTCAAGCATGCGCAACCACTCGCGGCACTTCTTCATCCGCTCCTCGTTGTCGTCGGGATAGCATGACGGCCGGAAAAGCTTGGAGCCGGCCAAGTCCTTGAGGTCTTCCAGGCGGAACTCCAGTCGGGCAACGCAGACCCTCGCAAACTCCTGGCACACCGCCTTGCAGGAGTAGTAGTCCCCGCCAGTCGTATGGCCTGGGATCTTGCGCTCGTGAAGCACGAACTTGTGCTCTGCAGCGTCTCCGTTCTGGTCCACACCATTGACGGTGACTTCGCGGTGCTCCGGGTTGCCGTGCTTCTTCAGGAACGCGCAGAGCAGGGGCGACTGATCGTTGCCGAAACGATCCTCGCAGTCCACGTAACGCACCTCGATTGTCCTGCAAGCGAGCGACACCTCCCCCGCGACCACCGTGATGTCAACCTGGGAGTGGGGGTGGGATGAATAGTTGCTGCCAGAGGTTGATGTACAACAATCTCCACTTACAACAACCGGGAACATGGTAGTGAAACAACTGCAAACGAGGACAAGCAAAATACTCCACATATCACCTGCTGCTTCTGGAACTTGGCGTTGAGCTCGTTGAGCACGGCAAGAATGTCTGCAAGGAAGAAAGCACGAAGTGGAATTTGAAGGAGGTGACCGTTTCATAGAGCGCGTGCTTGAAATCGTTTAGCAGGACGATCGTCGCCGGCAGAACCTTGGCGAACCGCTTGACTGCCTCTCCTCTAGAGAGCCACCGCACGTCGTTGATCCCCTGCAGCTCCAAGTTGGTTTCGCAGATGTACTCCTGAAGGTGCTCGAATCGTCGGTGCCAGTTGCTCGACCTAGAAAGCTGCTCCGCCACGTTCCGCACCGCCTGGTCTATGATGTTGAACTCCGTCACCTTCTCAGCAGCATCTTTCGCGGCCAACGCCTCCCTGCTCAAGGCAGAACATGAAAACGAGCGACTGATGTGAGTGGGCAGTACATGATCAACACTACACACATGTCATGAAGCCATTAACACAGACGGACTTACCGATGTGCGATGCAGTGGCACGACACGAGATAGGGATTCCGCAGGCGGAGTCGCGCCACAACACCATTGCTGGTGCCCGTCATGACTCTGGCGCCGTCGGTGCTGATTCCAACGATCTTTGACATGTCAATGCCCACGGCGTCAAGGTGGGTCAGTAGCACGTCGACGAGACTAGCCGCGTCACCTTTGTCAACTGTCAGCAGCGTGAGGAACTCACAGACGCTCGCTCCCTCCCTCATGAAGTGGACGTAGACGATCATATGCTTGCCGCGCGCCTTGTCAGTACTTTCATCGAGCTGAATGGAGATGTACGGGCTCGCCTCGAGCTGCTTCAGTTGCTCTTGCCGCATGTATTTCGCGGCAGCATCTAGTAGCTCCCCGAAACCGTACCTGCATGATACAAGCACAGTGGTTAGCACGGAACAAGTCAGTTCTAACGGAACAAGTACAACGACAGCGCGTTCCCCGAAACTTACTCCGAGAAGTAGTTTCCCTTGGAATCCAAGGGAAGGTTCGGGACTCCGAGCTCGGCCATGAACTTGATCGTGCCCACGTACGAGGTGATTGGCGCCTCCGACTTGCAGATGAACACGGTGGTCTTGAGAGCTGTGATGATGTGATGCGTGCTGCGATCCAAGCCCTCGAACTCGCTCAGCATCGTTTGACGAAGCTTCCGGCTCACCTTCGACTTCATCTCGGCGTGTGCGTCCTGGTGTGCGGTGGACCGTTGGTGCGTCCGGATGCTCCCCTTCTGCATGTCACGCCCTCCACTGCCTCCCTTGCCATAGGCCGTTTTCGCGCCTTCAGCTCCATGTTCCAAGCGCGTGCTGCATCTCAAAATGGGGAAACCATCTTCATCACGAGTTAAAATTAGCCACGGAAACAAAGACTCCCACGACGTCTTGAATCGCTTATGCGCTTTAGCGAAAGCGATTTCGGGGTAACGGGCCATCTCTTCGACAGTCGGCAGGCCATCGTCATCCTCGTCGTCGTCACTCCCCGCGAACTCCACTCGTCGGATTGGACGGGCCGACCGCTTCGAAGAGGGCTTCGGTTGTCGCCACCACGGCTTGCCACCGCCATTGCTTGACTCTTTGCGCTTCTTGTTCGCAGAGTCGCCAGCCGCATCGCCAATCTCTGTTTCTGGAGCCGTCGCTTCTGGAGGTTCAGGTTCCGTCGTGGTAGTGCAAACTTCGGGTGACCGCAAGTCTCGCCCCGCTTCATCCACGTGGGCTTCATCCTCTGTTGAAGCAACTACGGGCTCCGGATCTAACAGCTTCTTAGCGGGGATTTGTAGAAAGCTGAGGCCCGTACGCGGGAGTGATTTTTGCTGGTGACGACGTGCCTCGTCGTCACCATCGGTGGTTTCGTCAGCAGCCATGGCGAGGGCAAGAGGGATGGATGCAGGAGCTGGGCCTACACTAGCTGTGTGAGAGCGTGGTGGTGGGGTGTGTCAGAATCACTAGGCAAGAATGATTGAACTAGCAGAAGTTTGGGTACAAATATGAAACCCTAGTTGGGGTTGTACCCCATATTGGCTACCCCACTACAGCCTACAAGCATAATACAGTTTAACACACCCCCATAGGCAAAGTGGGGGAGAACAAAGGGTCACAAGACCAGTCCAGCAAAGCAAAGCAAAGCCCAGGGTGGATCACAACGTCACCACACTCCGAGCACAAGTAAAGGCCACAAGGCCAGTTCACATGCAGTGCTAGATATAGTACAAGACAAGCAACACAGTGATCAAAACCTAGCAAGCAAGCAACAAGATATATATAAAGTACAGTACAAAGAATGTCAAGCAGTGAGCAAGTGAGGAAACGTGGACACAAGGCCTAAAGAAGTACAGTGCCGCTGATGATCACTAGGCGGGAGCGCCTTGGTGAAGATATCAGCAGTGTTGGCCTTCGAGTCCACGTACACAAGCCGAAGCTGACCGCGCTGCTGAAGCTCCCAAGCAAGAAAGTAGCGAAGAGCAATGTGCTTCGTCCTGTGCTCCAGTCTGTGCTCCTGACACAAGGCAAGAGCCGCCTTGTTGTCACCGTACAGAACTGGAGGAGAACTAGGCCGCTCTCCCAAGTCAGTCAGCAGGTAGGTGAGCCAGCGTAACTCCTGTGCAGCCATGGCTGTGGCGTAGATCTCAGCCTCACAACTAGAGCCGAGAACAGAGGAAGAGCGGGTGGACCGCCACGAGACAGAACCAGAGCCAAGGCTGAAGGTGTAACCCTGTGACGACCGCTGCGTAGCCAGGTCGTCCACCCAAGAGGCGTCCGAGTGACCAGTGAGGACAACTCTGTCGCGTCCTCCAAGCACCAGCCCCATGCCTGATGTACTGCACAGGTACCGCAGCACCCTCTTAGCAACCTCCCAGTGCTCTCGCCTGTGTCTCCCAGGCGCAACGTAACGAGCAAGGATGCTAAGAGGGTACGCGAGGTCAGGTCGCGTGCAAGTCATCAGGTACATGAGGCAGCCTACAAGCTCTGGGTACGGGCCACTCGGCTCTACGGACTCGTCCGAAGGTGGAGCTGAGAGTGAGTGGCTGGTAGCCAGAGGTGTGGCCTGTGGTGAGGAGAACTGGAAGCCGAAGCGCTGAAGGACCTGCTGCACCATGTGTGACTGAGTCAGGGTGATGGTGCGACGGGCTCTGTCCCGGGTGATCTGCAAGCCAAGGTAGCTACGCAGTTCACCCAGGTCAGTGCAGGTGTGTCTCTTCTGCAGCTCCGACTTCACACGAGCGAGTGCCTCAGTGTCAGCAGTAGCAAAGACCAAGTCGTCGACGTACACGAGGATGTAGAACGGCGGCAGCGACGTGTCAGTGCGCAGAAACAGCGACGGGTCAGCAGTAGACGGCGCGAACCCAAGAGCCGCAAGAGTAGTCCTCAGTGTGTCGTGCCACTCACGTGGCGCCTGGCGGAGACCGTAGACTGGCCGGCGGAGACTCCACTGGGTACCAGGGGGAAACGACCCAGTAAAGCCAGGTGGGCGGCGCAGCCAGATCTCCTCGTGCAGGCTGCCCTGCAGGAACGCTGTGCTGAAGTCAAGAGAGTGAAGCTCGTAGTCACGCTGAGCAGCAACGTGCAGCAGAACCCGAAGAGTGGTCATCTTCGGGGTGGGGGAGAAGGTCTGGAAGAAGTCGACCCCCTGACGCTGACTGAAGCCTCTAGCAACGTAACGAGCCTTGAAGACAGGCGGAGAACCTGGCGGCCGCTTCACCCTGAAAATCCACATGCCATCGACGATGTTCGCCCCAGGAGGGGGAACCTCGTCGACGTAGGTGCCTGTGGACTTCCAGGATGCCATCTCTGCGTCCATGGCTGTCTGCCACTGAGAGGAGTAGGGACCCGAGATCGCCTCTGCGTAAGTGCGCGGAGTGGGGATGTCTAGTGCATCCGGGTCTCCCTCAGGGGCAAGCAACCAGGCCACGAGATGAGGTACAGCAGCCGCAAGAGACTCAAAGTCCTCCTGCCTGTCCTCAAGGACGTCCGTGCCAAGAGCACACTCACCCCCGACGGACGGAGGACAGACAGACGCAGACTCTGACTCAGCGACAAGGCTAGCAGCGTAGTCTAGACGACAGGCAGCAGCAAAGTCAACCAACTCAGCGACCAGAGCAGACGCAGCCGAGGACTCAAAGGTGGGGTCAGTGACAACAGTAGCAAGGAGACGCGTGACTGTAGGGTGCTCAGCGCGATACCGGTCAGACTCAGGGTCCGGAACGGCAGGCAAAGAGGACGCAGGAGGAGACGGTAGAGGGACACGCCGAGGAGCAGTAGAGGGACGCAGAGTCATGTAGTGAGTGCCTGGGACAGGAGGAGGACGCTCACGACGGACACGACTACCAGTGCGAGCAGGACGAACAGGCGACGCAGGACGAGACTCAGGCTCACGACGCTCTGTAAGACCTCCTGTGGGACCAGTATAAGGAGAGGGAGCAGGGAGAGGCGAGGCAGGCGGTAACTGTGACTGCGGCTGGACAGGCGGAGGACACTCTACGGAGGGAGGAGGACAAGGAGGAGGAGCCTGCCCAAGAACCTGCTGAAGGAGCGGTACGAAGTACGGTCGCGGCCGCGCAGCGTCTCCAGAAGCAGACGGGACTCCAGCGGCCGGGTCCTCAGCACCAGTGGCAGCTCCACCGGCCGGGTCCCCAGCTCCAGCAGCAGCTCCACCGTCCGACTCCTCAGCACCAGCAGCAGCTCCACCAGGTGGGTCCGCAGCACCAGCAGCAGCGCCACCCCCAGAGTCGGCAGCTCCAACTCCGCTAGCACCGCCAGCGCCAGAGTCCCCAGCTCCAGCAGCTCCAGTCACAGTGCTCCCAGAACAGCCAGTCCCGGCAGCTCCAGTACCCCCAGTACGAGCACCCCCAGGACGAGCAGCTCCAGCACCCCAAACTCCAGCCGAGCCACTAGGACGGCGAAAGCGGCGGACGTACCAGTCGCGAAGCTGCTGCGGTGTGAGAGACTGCTCAGCACCCCGAACCGGAGCACCCCCAGACGCAGTAACCCGAGGCTCCGTAGGCTCAGTAGCAGCACCCCCAGGCTCAGTACCCGCAGGCTCAGTACCCGCAGGCTCAGCACCCCCAGTCGCAGCACCCCCAGGCGGCAAACTCTCAGGCACAGTACCCTCAGCTCCAGCACCCGCAGTCCCAGCACTCCCAGGCCCCGCACCCGCAGGCTCAGCACCCCCAGGCGCAGCACCCCCAGGCTCCATACTCTCAGGCACCGTACCCTCAGCTCCAGCACCCTCAGTCCCAGCACCTGCAGCCCCAGCACCCCCAGGCCCAGCACCCCCAGGCTCAGCACTCCCAGCAGCACCACCCGCAGCAGCACCACCCGCAGCAGCACCTGAGTCACCTGTGACCTCGACAGGCTCAGCGACGGGAGGAGGGTCTACCTGAGAGACACCTGAAGGAGCAGGACCCTGAGGGGGAAGGGGGTCTACCGGAGGGGGACCAGGAGCAAGGAAAAGCGGCGGGGGAGGGAGGGGGGCAGTGCGGTAGGGGAAGAGACGGTAAAAAGGGACCGACTCGTCAAAGGTGACGTCCTGAGAGGCGAAGACCCGGCGCGAGGTGGGGTGGTAAAACTGCCAGCCAGGCGCGTCAGGGACAAAGCCAAGGAAGACACAGGGAAGCGTGCGGGAGGAGAGCTTGTCCGCGGACGTATCGCGGACAAGGGCACGAGCACCCCACACCCGGAAGCGCGACGCATCGCCAACCTCCCCCGTCCAACGCAGTGTGGGCGAGGTCTCCGGCAAGGAGACACGGGGCCAGAGGTTGAGCTGATGCGCGGCGTACCGGACAGCAAACGGCCACAGAAAATGGGGAGCCGCCGCGTGGACCAAGGAGGTACGAGCGATCTCCATGACCAGGCCAATGCGGCGCTCAGCAACCCCATTCTGCTGTGGGGAGTCCGGAAGCGTGAAGGTCTGCTCGATGCCCTCTGCCTGACAGAAGGTCCTCAGGAGATCGGAGGAAAACTCACCACCTCTGTCAGAGTGTAGACGCAGGACAGGAAGATCCGTCCGGAAACGGCGGCGGAGCTGGAGACGAACCGTGCGGATCCAAGGGATCAGAACAGCAGGGACCTCACCCTTGGTGCGCAAGGGGAAGACCGTGGTGTAACGCGAGTAGTCGTCGACAACCAGCAGAAAGTACCGCTC